CCTCAAGAATGGGATTACTGCCCATGTGAGAGAGACAGCTTTCCACCACGGGAGATTATAGCAAAAAGAAAGCTTGTCTATGAACCAGGAAGCAGGCACTCACTAGACAGTGAATCTACCAGAGCCTTGATCTTGGACTCTCAGTCTCCAGAACTGTAAGAAATAAATTTCTGCTGTTTTGAACCACCCAGATTATGGCAATTTTTTATAGTAGCCCAAACAGACTAAGACACGAACATAGTGTTTCTTTCTATCAGCATGGAAAACACATGAAAGGGAACTATCTTGTGAGTGGTGAGTCTATAAAGAAGCTGGGCATCAAGTCATAAATCGACCACAGAAAAACAGTCGGAAACCCAGCAGAGCATTTCCCTCTAGTGTGTCCAGGGGATTCGTAACTTATTCTTTGTACAAAGTACTGCACATCTTGGAAGCAAATAGTTTAAATAAGGTAGTAATATATTTAAGGGCATCTTTTGAAAGTTACAATCCCCAAGGAAGACAAACCATATGAATCTTTTCATTGCAAAAAAGATTCAAAGACATTTGTTATAGCAAAGGAGCAAAACCAATTGTGTATGGGTAGTGTGCTGAATTCACAAGAAGCTGCGTTCTCGGCCAGCCTGATTCTGGATAAGTAATTGTTCAATTAAAATGCCTTTTCCTCAGCATTTGAAATAGTTCTTGAGTGAGCTGTAAAGTGTTCTTGTTAACTGCATTAGGCCAATGGTCATTTAGTGTAAACAGGAACAAGACTTCAGATAACCCAGAATACTGTGACAAACATTTTGATTTTGCTAAAGTTTCAGAATGAAGCTCATATAAACAGGAGGATACTGAATCAATATACCATGATCTGGCCCTACCTGGTCCAGCCTTAAAATGCAGATGCTTTAAAGTACAAGCCACCAGAAGTGATAAACTTGCCTCTTAGTGTATTTTCTATTTTGTCTTCCATTTCAAAAGGCAAACAAAAGGTCCAAATTATAACTTGAAAAGACCTCAGGAATACACAAATATTAGCTGTACTTAGGACATGTAAGAATATGGTAAAAAAAATTATGGGAAAGACAGATTATTACATTGGTTCATCCAAGCTAGTATTTTTCCATCTGTCAGGAAAGAGGCTTTCAAAACAGAAAAACATTTAAGTTAAGCGAATCACTCCTGCCCCCTTTTAAGGACCTGCTCCTTAAAAATCAGACCCTTTTTTGCAGAAATAACTTCACTCCAGAGTATACTTATTGAGGGAATGCACGTGTAGTGGGGACTTAACATCTTTCCAGCATTGCCATGGTCTTTGTGAAGAACGTAAAAGAAATGTAAGATACACTCTCTACCCTCTAAGGACATTTCATTCTGGTAATTTTAGAATTCTAGAAATCATGCCAGAGGTAGTTTAAAAACAAAAGTATTTTGTTTTCCTGATAAAAAAATAACTGTAGACGTGAGTCTTAAGCAAAGTTACAATCCTGGACACTCTATTTTTTATTCACCTGGATGGAAATGGTCATCTCTATGTCTAGACAGCACCTACCACCTTAGAATAACCCACACAGTGGTTGCTTTCCTTCGTTCGGTTACTGGCTCACTCAATGTGCATGAAGGAAAAGATAGTTTCATTGCCTGCTGTCATATCATGTGCATCAAAAGACAGCCTAAGAATAATCATAGCAACAGTACATGTAGTAGGTGTAAACTGTAAAAAACCCAGATGTCCAACACAGCAGCATGGATAAATAAACTGTGGTAGATTTATACAACAGAATACTACAGAGCTATGAAACTGAACAAACCACAGCTACATTCCACAATGTGGATAACAAATGGAAGAAGCAAGACGAAAGAAAAGGGCAATTATGATTCCATTTATATAGAGTTGCCAAACAGACAACCCTGAACTATATGGATGTTTCTGGTGCATATGGTACACGCTTAAGTGGTAAGATGAAAAGCAAGGAAACGAATACCTAAAGAGTGCGGAATTGAACCTGGTGGGCAAACTTTTTGACTCGAGGGCCACAATGGGTTCTTAAACTGGACCGGAGGGCCTGAACAAAAAGCATGGATGTAGTTTTTGTGTGAACTAATATAAATTCAAAGTAAACATCATTACATAAAAGGGTACGGTCTTTTTTTTTTTTAGTTTTATTCATTTCAAACGGGCCGGATCCGGCCCACGGGCCATAGTTTGCCCACGGCTGGGCTAGAGCATACTTGAGGAAGGGGGACAAGTGGGGTGTATTTGGGAAGAGATCCACTAGGCTTCTGACACGCTGGTCAAAGTTGTCTTTTTTTTTTTAACCTGGGTGGCAGTTACAAGGGTTGTATTTACTCTTACAATCATTTATAAATGTATGTTATGTTATCCCTTTTTAAATAAGCACATTATAAGTAACTAGAGGCCCAGTGCATGGATTCATGCACCAGTGGGGTCCCTCGGCCTGGCCTGTGGGGATCGGGTCGAAACCGGCTCTCTGACATCCCCCCAGGGATCTCGGATTGCGAGAGGGCGGTTCTCGGGTGACATACCCCGGAATCGGGCTCCCTCCTCTCTAGTTCCGGCTGTGTCACCCGAGAACCCCAGTTGCCAAGTCACCGCAGCTCGGCAGCTCCTGCGTTGAGTGTCTGCCCCCTGGTGGTCAGTGCACGTCACAGCTACCGGTCAGACGGTCGAATGGTTGGACAGCTGCTTAGGCTTTTATATATATAGATAGTAAAACACATCTAAAAACCCAAGGGTTACTATGCTATATATTAAATGCATACATACACATATGTGTGGGTATAATACACACACTAAACCCTATTGGCTTCAAGGGAAAAAAGAGAAGAGTGGTTCTATATTAGAATCTTGTTTCCCTACTCTTCTGTTGAGCACATAGTAAGAGTTCAAATGTATTTTTTTTAAAATATATTTTATTGATTTTTTACAGAGAGGGAGAGAGATAGAGAGTTAGAAACATCGATGAGAGAGAAACATCTATCAGCTGCCTCCTGCACATCTCCTACTGGGGATGTGCCTGCAACCCAGGCACATGCCCTTGACCGGAATCGAACCTGGGACCTTTCAGTCTGCAGGCCGACGCTGTATCCACTGAGCCAAACCGGTTTCGGCCAAATGTATTTTTTAAAAATGAAAGAAATAAGGGTTTAAAAGTACACCAAAATGTACTATTCCCTATAATGAAAATTATGTGGCTTTTGGCTGATGGTGGAATGGCATGGTACATATTCTTCGTCCTTCCTTTGTCTATTGACACATGTTGCTGACGTAACTATGCAAAAGCAGCACCTGAGAAACATGGGCATCTTCCTGTCCTTACAGCTGTGACACAGAAGCAGCTGTCCTTTGATCTTATACCTAATGTCCTGCCCCTAAGTTTCCTGCTCCCACCAGTAATGTTGATTCTAATCTTAAAAAAAATTGGCTTATTTGAAAAAACAAACAAAAAACACAACCCTAAACTAATCCAGCCGTGTCCGCCTATAATAGAAATGATCTGACTTGAGTTAAGCCTTCATCAGTCTATTTTTCTCCACGCTCCTAAATTGGGTATTAGGTTACTGTGTTACCCTTCCATCTGCTCTGGATGAAACCTACAACAACATCTAAAAACTGGTGATACAATATCCTCGGAGCCCCTTTCACAGCAATGATCCCAATACATACCTTGGTAACAGACTGACAATATAAAACTGATGCATCACACAATAAAGAAACTGGGTTTACCAACTGCCCACCTCTACACTCCAGAATAGATTTACTAAAAGGAGCACAGAAAAATCTGTACAATGACTTTATTCTTCCCTCTGTGATTATCATTATTCTATAGCTCCTGGGTAGGTCAAAAGCAATTTCATATTTAAGAATACCTGAATCTGATCTGTGCTCTTAGAAGTTAAATTTCATTTTTCAAAATCAATACCACAAAGTAATGTTCTGGCGGGAAGAATGTAGAGGGCAATACAGTTCACTCCTGGGTCTTTCAAAGGTTTATCCATGGCACAGCTTATTTCAAGCAAACCTTGATCCGAAGCTTGGTAAAATAACCACCAACACTGCTTAGGTCACATGTGGTCAACACTGTCTACTTCATCTAACATCCAGAATCAAGGCCTTAAAGGCAACATTTTTATTTGCCCCTCTTTATCCTGGCAGAGATAAACACTGAAAGAAAATGGGGGTCTCATTTTAGGGTGGTGCTTTATTTCATCCCGAGTTAATACTTCCTCTAATTGTTGCTTCTGAAAAAGGTGATTATGCATAAATTCTGCATGGAGGAAAGGAAAAAGACAGATACATAGAGCAATCTTATAATGAAGTTGCATTATTCTACCTAAGTAATATCCATGTTATAGCCCATCATTTGACTCAAAAGATATTTCCCCAAATTCTATAACCACATACTCTTAAGAACATGAGATAACAGAATTATAGATACAATTTTGTTCCCCAACAGTACTGTTATAAATGGGGTACAGTGAATTAGAATTTCCAAAAATATCACTTTCATTCAAATACAAATTCTAAGACTATTTCAAAATCAAATCTTATTTCATTGGGATTAGTTACCATTTGGCTTATATATACCAGGGTTGCCTCACTTATAATGAAATAAAAGAGTGACATTCAGGACATAACTTTTTGTTTTTTTTTTATGGAGAAGAAGCAAATGTGTTCTAGGACAAAATGTAAACTTCACATACTAAAAAAGCATTGCAGCCCTAGCCAGTTTGGCTCAGTGGATAGAGCGTCGGCCTGTGAACTGACGGGTCCCAGGTTCGATTCTGGTCAAGGGCATGTACCTTGGTTGCGGGCACATTCCCAGTAGAGGGTGTGCAGAAGGCAGCTGATCAATGTTTCTCTCTCATCGATGTTTCTAACTCTCTATCCCTCTCCCTTCCTCTCTGTAAAAAATCAATAAAAAATATATTTAAAAAATAAATAAATAAAAAAGCATTGTAACAGAGGAGGGATAAAAATAACACTACCTTACATCTGTGATGAACTCGAATTTAAACCCCAGGCCTTCCCATTGCATGGCTCCTGTGCTTTCAACACACCACAGCTGTCCTTGGTTTCCTTAAATTTTCATATGAAAAAAAAGAGTAATTTTAGTAAGAAACTGCAACATCTCATCTTTTGGCTTTAATAAGACAAACATACATTCTCATTTACTTCTACCACCCTGCCCAAATGACTATGTGTAGAATAAATTCTGAGTAAAATAAATACACACGTATTTCATTATTTTTTTTCATCTCTATTTATCCCCTTTATATCTAACTCTTCCACCTCCACCCATCCCCATGGCCCCCGCAATCACCAGGCATTTTTTAAAAATTTATCTTTGTTGTTAAAAATTTTACAGATGTTCCCCTTCTCCCCCTCATTGACTCCTTCTAGCCTGTTCCCCCACCCCCTCTTCCCAGGCCTTCACCACACTATTGTCTGTGTTCATGGTTTATGCAGACATATTCTTTGGTTAATCTCTTCCCACCCACCCACCCTTGTTATCCCTCTGAGATTCATCAGTCTGTTCCATGTTTCTATATCTCTAGATCTATTTTGTTCATCAGTTTATTTTGTTCTTTAGATTCTACATGAATGAGATTGTGTGATACTTGTCTTCCTCTGACTGGCTTATTTCACTTAGCATAATACTCTCCAGGTTTCTCCATGCTGTCTCAAAGGGTAAGAGATCCTTCATTTTTACTGCTACATAGTATTCCATGGTGTAAATGGATCACAGCTTCTTTATCCACTCATCTACTGATGGGCACTTGAGCTGTTTGCAGATCTTAGCATTGTAAATTGTGCTGCTATGAACATAGGGGTGCATATATCCTTTCTGACTGGTGTTTCAGGTTTCTTAGGAAATATTCCTCCAAGTGGGATCACTGGGTCAAATGGCAGTTCCATATTTAATTACCACAGGCATTTTCTAAGGAAACTTTTTCCCTGAAGATTTTCCTCTAACAAATATGAGGAATTAGATTGCAGTCATATGCCTTCTTTTTCTACACTTCAGCAGCAGTCAGTGACCAGAGGGAGGTAACCAAAGCAAGATTAGGATCCAGAGCCTGAACAGAATAGTATAGATGGTTTTAAATGAACACTAAACCAGAAATTCAGTGTAAATGGTTTCTAAACCAAATAGGGTTTAAAATTAATTAAATACTTTTGGCAAGAAGCTTACTTGTTAATTCTTTAAAGATATTCAGATAATTTCAACCATCCAGCAGCTTCACTTACAATTTTTTTTGTTAATCCTCACCCAGGGATATTTTTCCATTGATTTTTAGAGAGAGAGTAGAATGGAGGGGGAGAAACAGAGAGAGAGAGAAATATGTATGTGAGAGATACATCGACTGGTTGCCTCCTGCACATGCCTCAACCAGGGCCAGGGATCGAGCCTGCAACTAAGGAATGAGGTAGTGCCCTTGACAGGAATCAAACACACAACCTTTCAGGGCCGATTCTCTATCCACTAAGCCAGCGGTTCTCAACCTGTCGGTCGTGACCCCTTTGGCGGTCTAACGACCCTTTCACAGGGGTCACCTAAGACCATCCTGCATATCAGATATTTACATTATGATTCATAACAGTAGCAACATTACAGTTATGAAGTAGCAACGAAAATAATTTTATGGTTGGGTCACAACATGAGGAACTGTATTTAAAGGGCCAGAAGGTTGAGAACCACTGCACTAAGCCAAACCAGCCAGAGCTTCACTTGCAATTTTATTTCCTTTAACCCTTTGCGGCCCAATGTTATTTTTGGAATTCAAAGTCTGGTCCAAATTAATTGACAGGATTGAATGTTGAACTCAAGGATGACTCTCCTTCACAGACCCCCCTATTCACATCATTTGTTTTCATTTTATTCTCATAATTTTTTTTTAATTTTTACTTTTCAACTAGAGGCCTGATGCACGAAATTCATGCAAGGGCTCGGCGGCCCTCGCAGACCCTGGCTGCCTTGGCCCGTGCAGCCCAGCTTCATCTGGAAGGTCATCTGGATGGTCGTTCTGCTGTTTGGTGTAATTAGTATATTAGCTCTTTATTATATAGGATTATAGTTGACATTCAATGTTATTATATACTAGTTTCAGGTGTATGGTATAGTGGTTAGTCAATTATATACTTTACAAAGTCATCCCCCTGATAATTCAAATACCCATATTGCCTATATTTCCTATGCTACATCCCCATGACTATTCTGTAACTACAAATTTGTACTTCTTAATCCCTTCACCTTTTTCACCCAGTCCCTCCCCTCTGGCAGCCATCAGTCTGTTCTCTGTATCTGTGAGTCTCTTTCTATTTTGTTTGTTTGTTTTGTTCTTCAGATTCCACATGTAAGTAAAATCCTATGGTATTGGGCTTTCTCTGTCTGACTCATTTCGCTCAGCATGATACCCTCTAGGTCCATCCGTGTTGTTGTGAATGACCTATTCACATAGTTTTGATGCTATTTCCTAAGGACAGTGACCCAGACTGTGTTGTGCTAAGAACACAGCTGCTTCCTTCCTGTGATCATTGGCTCACAAAGGGAGCTGGGCCTGAACTCCAGATGACCTTCCCTGAGAAGCAGAAGACTACACTCAAGTCCGCTGTGACACCCTAGAGTAGCGGTTCTCAACCTGTGGGTCGCGACCCCTTTGGTGGTCGAACGACCCTTTCACAGGGGTCGCCTAAGACCATCCTGCATATCAGATATTTACATTACGATTCATAACAGTAGCAACATTACAGTTATGAAGTAGCAACGAAAATAATTTTATGGTTGGGTCACAACATGAGGAACTGTATTTAAAGGGCCAGAAGGTTGAGAACCACTGCACTAAGCCAAACCAGCCAGAGCTTCACTTGCAATTTTATTTCCTTTAACCCTTTGCGGCCCAATGTTATTTTTGGAATTCAAAGTCTGGTCCAAATTAATTGACAGGATTGAATGTTGAACTTTTTAATGTTCTTATTGCTCAACGTTGGACCTGCTCCCTTTGAGTAAACAACTGTTACATCTAAAATCAAGCTTCCTTCAGTTTGTGGGCAGGCAATGATTGATTATATAAATAAGCAATGAGCTGTATATATAAGGAAAATACAATTTTAAATGCCTGTCTCTGTGTTTCTTTAAACAAGGCGAATGGACAATTCTCACTCTGAGTTAGGTATTTTAAAGATGACTAACTCAAAGAAGGAATTCTAAAACAATCACCCAAAGCATGACAAAAATGTTACCCTGGTGGAGCAGTCTGATAAAACTAACAGCCATAAGCTTCTAGTATCTGAGACTGAAATAGAAAAAATCAAATCTGAGATACAGTTTTTGTTGTCAGGAAAAATTACAAATAAAAATTACTTAAAAAATTTGCAAATCAACTATGTTATAACCACCTGTAGTTTTGATGCTTAACTGTTGTCTGTGATTAAATTCTCTCTTATTCTGTGCCCCTGCTTAGGCTCAAAGTTGGCAAAATTGGTGAATCCGGACAGCAGAGAACCTCCCGCCAAGGGCAGGCAGGAGCCCACGAGAAGCCAGAGCTATGCTCTCTTGCAGTCATGAAGTAGTTATCTAAATCAGTGGTTGCCAAGCTTGTCTGCACATTGGAATCACCTGAGGAGTCAAAGCACTCAAGTCCCACCCCAAGAAAGTGTGATTTAATTGGTCTGGGGTGTGGTCTGGGCTATGGAATTTTAAAGAGATCTCCAGGTGTTTCTAGTGTAGAGAAATTTAGAAACAATTTTGCTGTTGTTGCTGTTAATCCTCACCTGAGGATATTTTTCCATTGATTTTTAGAGAGAGTATAAGGGAGGGGAGAGAGACAGAGAGAAACATCGATGCGATAGAGACACATCGATTGACTGCCTCCTGCACGCACCTGGGCCCAGGGCCAGGGCTGGGGTTCAAGTCCACAATCGAGGCGCGTGCCCTTGACTGCAATTTAACCCAGGACCCTTTAGTCTGAGGGCCGACGCTCTATCCACTGAGCCAAACCAGCTATGGCTATATTCTTTTATATTTTTATGTCCATTTTACCATACTTCCTATATTTTTCTCATGCCATTCGGGATTTGTTATAGCCCGTCATTGGAAGTACTACTTATTCTGGAATATTCCCACAACTGTAAATCCACAGAGGTAAGCCAAGATCCCAAAGCAAAAAGTACAATATATTTATCATTGTCAAAAGAATAAAAGTAGGAAGAATAAGGACATGAATAATTTGAATTTCATAAAATGCTTTTTCATGTCAAGATTACTAGTGTATGGATGGTTTTTCAAATCCACGCCCCAGAAACCTTATTATTTGCCATCCTAAAAGCAGATGGAAGAATTAGAGAATGCTGCCTATAATAATCTGGGTTTAAGCAATGCTCTGGATTTGTGTGACCTGCTCCAGCTTTCCACTTTATCAGATGGAGCAGGGCAGCTGCTGGAACGAGGCATAAGGAATGGAGTCTTACACACAAATAAGGCTGTGGAGGTACTAGGTTCATTAATGTTCTTGTTGGCAGGAATCAAAATGACTTAGAGGCAGCCAAGTAGAATTACAGGTTTGATTTACTTAAGAGATACATGTTATGCAGGCATCAGCATTTTTTTTTTACACCAGCCTCAAGGTGGGCTTGATGATGAGACAGTGCAATCTTCCTTTCACAGTAAGAGTCAGTTGTGTATTTCCCTGTGGTGGGAAGCAAGAAAATAGTTTCAAAGGTTTAAAAGTGTCAGTTTATCAAAAGCAAATAATGGGGCCTGGCTGGTATGGTGCAGTGGTTGAGCGCTGACCTATGAACTAAGAGGTCACGAATGGATTCCCAGTCAGGGCACATGCCCAGGTTGCAGGCTGGATTCCCAGTATAGGGAGCGCAGGAAGCAGTTGATCAATGATTCTCTCTCATCATTGATGTTTCTATCTTCCTCTCATTCTCCATTCCTCTCTGAAATCAATAAAAATACATTTTATAAAAAGCTAACAGTGGGAATACATATCTTTGTTTCTTAAAATAAAAAAGCACCAACAATACATGGACAGGCTGAAACTGGAAAGCTCATGTCACAGTGTCAGGGATTC